GCTTATTATCAATTTTGGGGTTAAGGAAGGGGTAAGGGCTAACTGAAGAGTTCACGCCCAGGGAAGGTTTAGAATCGAGGTTAGGGCAAGGGTTTGGCTTTGTATTGGGGTTATTGTTGGCGTCAGGAAATATTTTGTCATTTCTGGAACTATGCGTAGATCCGCCTTTGTATTTAGACGGGGCCTTTCTATTGCCATGTCCTGTTTAGGGGGCCGCATAAATCAGTCCCACCGTAGTTCTTTTTCGTGGCCATCTTACCTGTAACCGGCCACTCGGTATCCCAAAGTAGGGCGTACAGCAAATTAAAATGAAGATTGCAACTGGATTTTGTACAGTACTATTGACAAATAGCAAGACTAAACAGGGCACAAACCTCAACAGTAGGTACGTATACTTAGAATAAGTGAGTCTGCCGAACCCAAAGTCCGATTCCACACAACAGAAATGTACATTTGCTAACGTGGATCACACGCGTGCACAGAAACGATTTTAAGCAATAGGAGTGACCTTCAGTTTCGAGGTCAAGGCCAGGAGTCGACTTAACAAAGAAGTCCAGTTCAGGCGGATCAGAGAAAATCAGAGAAGGCGGGGAACAGCACGCACTTATGAAGTCCAGATGGCGATTCACAGAACATAGACGTGGAGCATTTCCAATTTTGTTCGACAGGAGATAAAATCACTCTATCCTCTGATCTTCTACGAGCCTGAGGGGTTTAAGTGCGGTCAAATTTTAGATTTTAGGGGGTGCTGGTTGAATGAAGAGACTCTACGCAGAGGCGAAACGACAGATAAATGGACACGCTGCTCCATCTTTTGAGGTCTACAGTAAGAGGCATGAAATATACCTGGACGAACAAAACACCAGTTATCACTCGGGACTTTGCTCTAATGTATCTACCAAAACTCCCTGTTTGCAGTGCACGACTTCGAGTAAAGTGATAACTTAAAAAATATATTAAGAATACCATTAAGCTATTTAGATATAACATCTTTTAAGAAAAACGGATATGTCTGAATTGTTAAAAAAACGCGTACAACTGAGAACGTCACTTTTAGAGGCAAATAAAATCGGTCCATGTAAATTCTGAAGTCAGAAAACACCATAGGTAGACTAAGTTTTAAAAATAGTTCTTTGCTGAAGTTTGCTCTGAAATATCCTCCAGAACGACAGTTGGCCAGCAGCCCACAGTTTGAATATATATATATTTCAACTCGCTCTCACAAGATTTGGCCGTACGGCTTCCGTTTTTGCGTTTTCGAGATGCATTTGGCAAAGTTAGGGCTAATTTCGCCTGATTGCATCGATTGGGACGCCTCAGCAAGACACGGCCCCACTTGACTGATACCGTATGGTTAGCTTACTAATACGATATTAGTAGCATACATTAATTGACCACTCGCTGGGGTAGGAAGGGAAGGAGAGTGTAAGCAGAGCTTAAGCAGGCGCAGGGAATCGAGTGAAAGTGGCATGTACACACTCTCCCCTCGATAAATCGGATTGCTGGATTAGGAGGATAAAGAGGGCACAATCACAACTGGAAGGCCACGGAGGAGACTGTGTGGTAGTTCGCACTGCATGGCCACTGTAGTAGAACCGACGGAGTTCCACACCGTTCGAACAATTCCAATAGTAAGTCTACTTAGCCGCTCACTGGACTACGATAATAAGGAGGGCGCAAGCAGGGCTCAAAGCACGCGCAGGGAAGCGCGTTTGAACTGGTACCTGGAGTAACCGAGGCTGGCGCATAAGAACTCCTCCTCTCGTTTCTATGGGACGAAACATCTCTGTAACTCCTAGTACCTCTCTGCACAGGTTAGCTTTTCCCTATCCCGATCATGTAATTTGTCCCTACCACACTCACTTGCGTACTGTATAAGGATAACCCCCTGCAAGCCACTCTCGTGTGACTAAATGCTCCGGAGCTCAGAAGACATTACGCGAAAACGGTGGTACTTAGACAATCATCGATCGTTTTTGCGGAACTCACTCGTCTCCTTGTGCCATACGGGCATTCTCTCTCTCTCTCTCGAGCCCAACCAGCAGCCGCACAGCGGCACATGATATAGGCAGACTGGAATTACCGACAAAGGCAAGGGAGACTGGAATGGCCATTTCTGGCTTACTTACCGTCGTCAGCCATTCATACCCAAACCCGAGGTGTGGAACGCCTGGGGCTCGATCCCGCAACCTGTTTGTTAGAAGTTCAACGCCTCCACACTTCGGGCTTAGGCATGTCTGGCCATCTCCCTTGTCTTTGCCGGTAGTGAAGCGACGCGAGAATGCTAGTGCAGTGGTGAAAGCCTTGCTCGATGATCAATTGACTCGGGATTTGGATCCGGGGTGTGAACCTCCCGCTTTTGCTGACAAACACTCCTCAATTATTGATTGCTAGTCATCATGCTTTCTTCTGCGTGATACGCAGACCAGCCTTATGGCGAAACCGGTACCATCTGATTCGTCAGGTTTCCTGACCTCGGCGCGTTGGTGAAGAGGCTGCTTGAAGATCAACGGACTTGACTCCAAATCTTGAGAGCTTGTACCGGCAAATAAGCCAGAAATGATCATTCCCGGGTCGCCAACATCTCTCGAATACTAAAACTGCGGATATTGCTTGAACACATACTCGTCTAGTATTCATTCTTTTTTAAAATGTTCTATTTAACAGAGACAGTACTTCTTGCAAAATAACAAAAATATGGCTCACTTCATGCAAACATCGAATATTAATATTCGAGCCGTCTTATCTAAGTGGTAATTTTCCTCCTAAAGCGTAACTGACATCAGAAATTGAGACGACTCTAAGTAAACAGGCCAGTATTCCACCGATCGCTTCATGTAGAGCAGTGGCACTGACTAAGTAAACAAATTTCCCTGCTCTGAAAGCGCGTTTAATGATGTCGGTGAGTTTCACACGACAGTGGCCTTCATCGACCTGTACTGG